GGAGGATTTCACATAAGTAAAGAACCTTTGTTACCATTCTAATTCAGATGCTTTTAAACAGACATGATAGAACAGAAAGGAAAAATAAAATGTGAAGGCATGCTACTGTTCATGCAACACTTATGGAAAATAAGCACTCCAGAGAGCTTTATTTCATTTCCAGTTCTGTCAGAGTGAATGTCATAACCAGGCTGAAAACCTTTGCTTGCTTCCCTATCATGCTTAGAGAAAGGAGGAAGCAGGAGGGAGTCATACCTTTTCACTTCCCCTGTGACCAGGAGGGATTTTGTAACGTCAACAGGCAGGATAGACAGTGGTTAAGAATATGGACTCTGAATTTGGGCACTTTGATTCAAACCCCGACTCTACCACTAACTAGCTGTGTGAAATAGGGCTAGTTCCTCCACCTACTACATCTGTGAAATCAGGACAACAATAATATCTACCTTTGTAGGTTTTATTTTGTTTTTGAGAATTTAAATATATAATATACTCAAGCCTCTTAGAACAGTGCCTAGGAATATTAGTGCTATATAAGTGATTGTTATTATAAAATTTATTGTTATTCAAGAATAATACAAAGAATTGATCACAAAATCATAAAATACCATCTCAAGACAGAATTGTCTTGCCAAAGTTGTGGTTATTATGCAATTAGCTCTATGAAAACTGTACTTTCTTTCTTCTTTTTGTTAAAAAAAAAAATGCAAGAGGCGTTTTTTTGAGAGCAGAATGAAGAGCAAAGCACACCAGATTTGGAAGGGAGGTCCAATGAGAGGATTTCTAAAATCCATTCCAAATCCAAAATTCTATGAGGCTAGATGCCCTTTGACATTTTACAAAATCTAATGTATTTATGGCTGTAGAAGTCTTTTTTACCTACTGTGTTTACAAAATAGATGATCAAGTTGAAGACTATGTCATTTGTTCACAATGCAAGAATCAGAATCACAAAAAAATCTTTTAGCCCATGAAAATAAATTATTTGTAACACAACTGATAACTTTTAAAGCACTTTGATTGTGAGACTAAAACTGTTCAGAGCACTTTATTAGTGTGATCCTCATAAATTATTCATCTGAAATGATTTTCTAGAGATTCTAGGAATAAAACATAATCCATAGGTATTCCGTGCTAACTTATTAATTAATACTTTAGAGAATGAGAGTACAACTCTTATTGAGTTTAGCTTAGCAATTCTCACCTATATGAAAATAAGCTGACTTAGTTTGAAGGTGGAAAGTCATGAAGGTGGAAAGCACAAGGCTTTGGAGGAACAAGTACCAAGACAGCATTTCTTCAGACTATGTCCCTGCATTTGCCAGGTTCCCCAGAGTTGCCTGGTCATGGTCATCGTCTCTGTTACTATTACGGCTGCAAAGGAGTGTCCAGAGGCTTGTCTGCCTTCACAGGTCTGATAAGCCAGGTAGTGGCACAAGAATTTTAATTGGGGGGAAAAACAAGATTCTGTTATGGAAAAAAGGAAGAGAGGGTGATTTGAAATAAAAGTTAGCTCTTTCTCAGTTTGGCTTATTTCACTTAGCATAATATTTTCCAGGTCCATCCATGCTGTCCCAAAGTGTAACAGATCCCTCTTTTTTTTTTTTTTTTTTTTTTTTTTTTTTACAGCTGCATAGTATTCCACAGCTTTTTTATCCTATGTTCATCTACTGATGGGCACTTGAGCTGTTTCCAAATCTTAGCTATTGTAAACAATGCTGCTATGAACATAGGTGTACATATATTCTTTCTGGTTGGTGTTTTTTGTTTTTTTTAAGGATATATTCCTAGAAGTTCCATTTTTAATTTTTTGAGGAGACTATACTATTTTTCCATAGTGGTTGCACCAATCTGCATTCTCACCAGCAATGTCTTCCCTTTTCTCCACATCCTCACCTCACATAATCTCACTTATTTGTGGAATCTAATGAACAAAATGAATTGACCAATAAATAAGATCCAAAGCAGGGAGGCATGGAACAGACTGACATATCTTGATGTGGGGTTGAGAGGAGAAGAGATAAGCCAAAGGACTTATATACTTATAGGCATAGCCCATGGACACGGCAATAGGGTAGTGAAGACCTGGGGCTGGGTAGGGGCTGGGAGGACGGGAGGGAAATGGGAGATATCTGTAATACTATAACAATTAAAATACATTAAAATAAATATAATTTATATATAAAAATTAAATGTTAGCTCTGCTACCTTTTAGCTATCGATACATGACCTTGCTTTGGTTGTTTAAATTTAATAAGCTATACTTTTCACATTTAATTTTTCCTACTTCATAGGGTTACTGAGAAGATTAAATAAATAATACATGCAACGCACTTAGCCCATGATGTCTAAAACATAATAAGCACTCAATAAATGAATGGTAGCTTCACCTACTCTCCTAAATGAATGACAGGGGCAGATAATCCATATTCTCTTTTGGTGAGCTTCTGATGTTCCCCCTGGAATGTCTCAGAGGCATAAGAAGCACTAGCTAAGCTTTCTGTCATCAAAATTTGGGCTCAAACCTCAGTCTTTTTAATAAGTCCTAAAAAAGCTATGGTTTTCCCCTCCCCAATCCCCAAGATCCATTCATGGTTTTATGTGGGCACTGAACAAGGGTTCATTTTGTAAGACTGTCCAGCTAGGTTAAAAATAAAGTATGCAGAGATGTGTGTAACTTTAACAATAAGATGTAGAAAAAATGGATTCTTCTTAGCTGAGAACAAAGGCATCCTAGATTGTGAGTGAGTGTGTAAGTTCACAGACAAGGTCTAGATAGTAAGGCACCAACATGGTAACAGCAGTTACCTCTGGGGAAGGAAGATTGGGAGGAAGATTAGTATTGTCTTAACAGCTATTTACATATTATTTGCATAATTAAAAAACAAAACAAACAAATAAAATAGCAAAACCAAAAACAAAGTAATGGCTTAAACTGAACCAATAGACCAAAATCGAGGAATTTATCCCGGGGATTGTCATGACTGGACACAAAGTATATTTTGCTTAGTTTGCCATCCTTGAGGAGTGAGAAGAGCAGGGGAGAGAGTCCTGATCCTATCTCTGGCAAACAATAGACACAGGTTCAAGGCAGATGAAGCTGCCTGTCAGATCTTTCTGTAAACTTCTTTCTCATGTACTCAGATAAGACATTGGCACCCTGGCTAGTTCTTTGCAAAATTCAAGGTTTAAAAGGCACCAACTGAAGGCTATTGGTAAAATTATGCTTTTAAGGAGGAAGGGGGCCATGGTAAATTAGTATATCAATTGGAACATTTCAATAGGAAAAAAAGAAACAACTTTTAAAAATCTATTTGACAGCCCTGGCCAGGTAGCTCAGTTGGTAAAAGCATTGTCTTGATTTGCCAAGGTTGTGGTCCAATGCCCAGTCAGGGCACATAGAAGAAGAAACCAATAAATCAATAAATCGAATTTAAAGAAAATTCACTTGACAAACACTTTGTCAATTAAAGATCCCTACTGAGGAGTTTTAAATTATCCCCCCCCCCCAATACCACCAAATAAATTCATTAATTAAAAGAGTAAAGAGTTTAAGTACAAATATATGGGCTATGACAGTTTTTATCAGCAAAACCTTTGTTTGTCATTGGAACTTACTTCCCACACAGGGCCCTTTCCTAGGAAAGAACTATTTGGGCTACAGGGAAAACCAAGAAACATGGAGCTCTGAGAAGTTGCACTGCCTTGCTTTGATTCAGCTTGCTGTCAGCACCAGAGAGGCTGACCTCGCTGGGCACTCAGACTCCCGTCCACGAACAGCAGCCAAGACAGGGTGGTGTTTGCTTTGGTTTTAACACATACGTGTTGGCCATGGGCCTGAAGGAAGATATTGATTTACTGAGCTGAGCTCAGTCAAAGGCATGTGGGAGCCTGTCCTGGCCCCCTGGTTGGGCCTGACCTGCCGTTTCCAGCCCATGTCCATTGAGTGCAGGGAAGTAGTCCAGCCCAGTCTGTAATACACTGGGTTCTGCTGATGGGTTAAGGGAAGGACTGTGTCAGAGCAGCATAGAAAGAACTTGAATGAAATACCAATGAATGGAGAGAGTCATTTGGATGAAATTGCCCTGGGTATTAAACAGGCCAGGCAGCTGGGGGCTGAAGGAAGCTCTGTTGCTTAAGAAACTCTCCATAAGAGTGTCATTCATCAGCCCATTAACAGTTGTCCATTTTGTACCTCCCACTGGTGCCTACATTTGTAGATGTATGCAGAGCGCCAGTGGGACCGTGACAATGAACTGAGTTTATTATGAAAAATCTTTTTTTTCTCCTTTATAACCAATGTACATTAATGCTATGAATGGACAAACAAGGAATTTAAGACATAAATGTATACAGCAGCATAACCTGATATCACCCCTTGAATTCAGACAGCCCACTGCTCTCTCTGAGATAGGCAGAGATACTAAACAACATTAAGGCAACTTGAGGTAGAGGTTTGAAAATGCTGGATCCCATCCTTCCTGTAAAAGGTCATTCCAGTCCTCCGTTATTTTTACCATGGATACGCTCAGTGAGGTCCTGGCTGAATGGGATCTGGGAAGCTAGAAGCTGCTGCTTCTGACCAGGAAGGTACTGCAGCACATGAGACTGAGTGAATGAAAGGGGTGGGAAAAGTTGAACCCTTCAAAGATAAGAGAGAGAGTGGCTGGATTAGTCCCTGACTCAATTACTAGCCATACCCTTATCCAGGCCAAGTCACTTTGAAGCTGCCTGTAATCTTGGGCTCTGATTGAGAAATTCCCATTCCCACCCCAAATCTTCCTTCAGACATCCCAGTCCAACCCCCTATCCCCAAAGCAACTCCTTCAGGGCATCCCACTTGACTCCCCCAAATTTGTATCAAGGCAGGTGTAAGTCCCTGCTGGACCACTGCTCCTTCTGAGCCAGCCAACAAAACCTTAGGCTCACCACAGGCAAGCAACCAAATGCTTTAAAGAGAAGAGCAGAACACAAAAGAAACAAACAAGACCTGTCCTTACCCGCTTCTTAAAAAACTGGAAGGCTGAGCATTTCTTGACCGGGAATCCATTCATGTCTTTGTTTACCATTTTCCACCGTGGGAAGTTCACAGTTATAGATCCGGGGTGGCCCTCGCCTGGTTAGGGCATCTGGTTCCCAGAGTTCCCTTCTGGAGATCACGAATGGAGCCGGAGCGGGATGGATGGAGACTCCAGCGGGGCGCAGGTTGTCACTCACACATCCTACAGCAGCGGCCACTGCAGCACCCTCTCCCCGCTCTCAATGGCCACCAGCAGAGGCTTCTCCCTTCCCATCATTGTTACGAAACACACGCATCATTGCGACGGGACCCTGGAACGAAGCGGATGCCTAGGAGATGCGGTTGCTGCTGCAGAGAGCGGGAGCGGGAGAGGGACCCCCGCCCCTGGCGCGCCCCCAGCTACCTGGCTGCTCTGCGGGCGGGTGCAGGGAGCCAGGCGCCCTGCTCCAGGTGATGCGCTTCTGGATGCTGCTTGGGAGGAGAGCTGTTTTTAATTGTGCAAGTTCCACTGGGAGCTGTAGTTAAGCAGCTGAGAGAAGGAGTAAGAAAAAAGCAGATGCCAGAGGGAGAGAGGGAGGGAGGGAGGGAGAGCCGCGCCAGAAAGGCACAGGGAGAGAGAAAGCGGTGCTGGAAGACACAGGGATTCATGAATATCTGAGGAGCGGATGGAAAGAGGGCATCAGCTCAGGACGCGCTGAAAAGCACTTGACTCCCCACTGGTGGGAGGGAGGGCTACTTTAATAGCTTTATTTCTTCTTTTTGTTGTAAGGAACGACGGACATCATAATTTCATATGAAATGCAGATCGTTCTTATTTCGTGCTCATTCACATTCTTTGGATACCTACTCCTGGAGAAAAGCCTCTTGATGGAAATTTCATCCCATTGATTCCTGACCTGTCCGTATATGGAGAAAAAGGAAAGTGCAAGCATAGGCATGACAATGGACGCGCGCTCTCTCTCTGTGGAGACTCTTCGAGCATCCTCTCCCTACTTGTCAAAATAGTAGCAACAGTAAAGGCAACTGTGTCTTTTTCACCAAGGAAGCCTGTTAAAAAAAGAATAGGGTAGACATATACAAAACTGTCCTATGAAGAAAAACAAAGAGCATCGCTCAAGTGTTATGAGTCCATTTCACGGAGGAATGGTGAATAAGAGAGAAAAGCATTCTTCTTATCACGTGAAAATCTGCCCCTAAAATCCTTACGTGTGCTATATGTGCACACTAAATTCATTTTTTGAAAAGCTACTTCATTTGTGCCTATCCTATTTTTCCATTTTAATGTTGACATTTTATGGGGACATTTAAAAATTAACGCTGATAGCTAAATGGAGAGAGCAAAGAAAACAAACTTGGCATCTGATCTGGCACTGCCCCCAGGACATCAGTGTGGGGTTCCTGACCTCACTGCCTTTCAGAAGTGCCTTACCCATAAAATGGAGGCAACCACGCATTCATTCCTTCATTGACTCATTCATTCATTAAGTCATTCACTTGTTTGCTGTGTCATTCCATTTGTCCATCCAATCCAATCCAAATGTGGCAAGTGTTCCCAGATGTACAGCCTTTTCAGTCACCACAAGGGAATACAATCAATAAACAAAGGGTAAGCACAATGCCTACTTGATAAAAACAACAGCCAGCTCATTAAAAACAAGCTACCTAACATTGTTAAAATATTTATACAACAATCTCTGGTGAGAAGAGAAACCTATAGGTTAACTGGGGAAGAGATGTGTTTATTTCATTAAATTGGAATATAAATATCTATAGTTGGACCAGGTATTTTGTTGTTGTTATTGTTGTCCTTTCTTTTTCTTTCTTTCTTTTAAAACAAAAACAAAAACAAAAACAAAAAAACAACAACAACAGCACAGCAGTGAATTCTTATTTGCTAAATGCTTTAAGGTTTCCAAAAGAAAAATATAATACAACCAAATGATGGCATTATGACTAAGGGAAAAGAAACTATTCATTTTGGAGAAATATGTTGTTATCCAAGATGCAAGGGTCTATTAATCTGCAGCATTGATAGGTTTTGTGTTTTTTTCTAAAGAATTCAGTTAAAATTCTGATAGCTAAATTGAGAATTTTTGAGGATAATAGAAATGTTCTCCATAAGAAATATGGTGGAGGTTATATAAACTATCTATTTGCCAGAAGTCATCAAACTTCATACAAAAAAAAAAGAATTTTTTGGTATGTAAATTATAGTTCAATAAACCTGATTTTAAAAAGTCAAGGCCATTCAAATTATAGTTCAATAAACCTGATTTAAAAAAATCAGGGCCATTCAAATTCTTTCTAGTTCCACATGTTGCCTTTATGATTTATTGAGCTTGAGTGATTGGTAGGAGTGCCTCTTTAAGCATCTGGTAGGAAGCTGGTGCTAGGGCCTAGTCCTGATTCCACATGGACCTAGCAAGTATACTGGTTTTAAGTACTACATGTTCATTTAAGGTGAAGAAGGGATGGTTAATAGAAACTATGAGGGAGGAGGTTATAATTAAATTATATTCCTTTTCCTCACTATATTCCACCCCTTGGAAATGCTGCCACTGTCACCTATTCTATGCTAAGTCCTATGGGAGATCCTGTGAATGTAACCATCAGTAGTTTTTGTCACTAAGAAAGTCACAGCCTAGAGAAGAAAGATACTGGGATAAGAATAACGTGTGTGTGTGTGTGTGTGTGTGTGTGTGTGTGTGTGTGTGTGTGATATGTATAAGCATTAACCCTATCTTGGCTCAGGGGAGTGGCAAGGTGGCTTAGAGTGGATGGGGAGGCCCATGGAGGTAGAGGTCAGAGATCGGCAGATGAAGAAGCATAGGTTCTGATCAAATCAGGTAGCCTCTTATTTTGGACTATATTTTGGTCATTGCAATCACAGGGAAATGTGTTAAGTACAGTGTGTTCGCTACTCTGGGAAAACAGGCATCTCCCATCTCTCTCCATTTTCATAAATAAAGCTGCCTGAACATAGGCCCAGAGTGACTACTATTCACTCAGTGCCTCCGTTACCAGGTTTGTTAATACTTACAAAGAAATACAGACTACTGCTGATGGCAAAAAAGAAAATTACCCCTGTACTCTGACAACATCCTATTTGCACATTGAACCTGTTTTAATTTAATTAATTTATTGACTTACTTTTTTTCCTCATTAAACACCCTTATTCATTTTTGTAGCCCCAGCAGGCAGTCGAGTGCCGGGGCCATGCTAGGTGCTCAGTGAATGCTTTTCAAATCAATTAAATAAAAAACTGTAGCGCTACATAGACCGGGCACCAGACCATTTGTAGAAATCATTAAATACCTTTGATAATTTTAAACAAGTAAACTTCCATCATAACCAATGTGCTGAGCTCTTGTAAGAGCAATTGACCCTCAAACCTTACCATTTCTTCTCTAGGCTTTAATGACATTACTACTCTGGGAGGATACATTGTTTTTATGGAAAACTCTAATGTTAAAAATAATCCCTTGATTCTTTATTTTTTTTTGTAGTATATTCACTTTTTCTCCCAACGATATTGTTTAAACTTTAACACAAAGAAAAAAATGAAGTAGCTAGGTAGGACTGAGAGAGTGCTAAGTTGATTTGGATGTTCTGGTGGTGAAACCCCCTTTTCTAATTATGTGACCTTGAACAAGTTCCTTCAGTTTACTGAGCCTTAGTTTTTTTCATCTGTAAAATAATAAAATGCATCCCATCTACCTCATAAGGCAATTGTTAGTACCAGGTTATACATGAAAAAGCCTTGTGAAGTAATGAATAACTTCACATTTTGGTTCTATGAAAACAAGAGACATATACAATACTTTTATAGAAAGTTTATCTTTCCTTTGACTAAAGTGTTTTTATATGTAGTTGTTGAGTGGAATATAAGCTTTTGTCCTCCCAGCAACCTGGAAAACATATGAGATAATAAATAATAAAATATCTGTCTAGTGGCAAATGTCCTTAAGGAAAAAGGGACACAAATAGACCACCACATCATAAGAAATGTATTATGTTCCTCTTTACCCTAAATGACTGTGACTTGATCATATGCTTAAAAAAACCAGCCACAGTGGGAGTGATGATGTAATTAAGAATTAGGGAAGTTCATTGGGGATCTTGGATTTCTTTTTATACATCTGAAAAAAATTTTTTTTAATCCTTTGGTTTAACCAAATTAGATTTAATTCATGTATATATCAGAAAAAGTTACAAAAGAAAAACAAAACCTAAAATATCAATTCATCATATTTTTTTCTTTCAAATTAAGAATTATGTACAAATAAAAAGAATCAATACCAGAATGAATTCATGACATTTTTCAGAAAAGATGCAAGTAGCAATGGTAGGGAAGACATAAGACTTACTTAGATGAGACTAAGTAAGTGCTACACATTGGTAATTTGTTTCCATTCTCACTATGTTAAAAAATAACCCTTCATTTTATAAATATACAGCTTCCTTTTAGAGTCAGTATTTAACAACTATCTCCTAACTGGCAAAGGCAATATATATATATATATATTTCCAGTGTTAACTGACTTGAAACTGTTTATTGAATGTCAAGTATATGCTAGTCATCACACTAACAAGAAAGATAGCAAACCAATAAAAAGACCTGCATTTGTCTTGGCAAATCCAATTTGATAGTAGCATTTAATTCATATTCAAAGGCATTCAACTTTATTCTAGGCTATGATTTCAGCCAGATTACCAAATAAACTGGAATTTTATTTATTTCCATTACCTAAAACATCCTATATAATAAAAAGCTAATATGCAAATTGTCTCTTTGACCAGGAGTTCAACCAGGAGTGGGCTGGCTGGACCTCACCAGTGCATGAATTCGTGCACTAGGCATCTAGTTTTATAAAGAATTACAAAATTCAGTTCCTCAGTTCAAGAGAAGCTGTAGCAGCTGATTAAAAATTCATCCTGCCTACTTGTATCTATGCTACTTGCTTTTCATCTGGGCCTACTCATCCACAGTGAAACCCACATAGACACCTTTCTCTCTTTGTCTGTTGTCTCATTGGTTCTATATTATAA